TAGTACTAAGGTAGCAGATGGACATTGGGCCTCCACTCAAGTACTCCCTCAATGCAAGAACACTTTATTCTATTAAACTGGCATTCCATGATGCTTACCTTCCCTACACAATTACTGAAGATGAAGCGAATGCATAAGGAAATGTGTAGCAAAAAGCATATGGTGCCCAGCTTTCAAAAGGTATAGGATCTGGGGTCTTAAAGGCTTGAAGATAAGCAAGAGGGAATCTAGCTGAGAAGCAACAAAGCCCACATGGAAGAAGCACACGAGCCTGTGCGATCACAAGATGTCGATGGGATCAGGCATCAAAGAACAAAAAATAATATCATTGTGAATGAGGGGGAGTGCAGAGTGGGGACCAAAAGCCCATCTAGGCAACTAGAGATCCCCTTACAGAAGGGTCACAGGGAGGAGATGAGCCAGTCAGGAGACAGTATAGCACTGATGAAACATACAACTTTCCTCTAGTTCTTTAATGCTTCCCCCACTATCATGATCCCAATTCCACCTTGCAAATCCAGCTAGACCAGAGGATGTACACTGGTAGAGATAGGAACTGGAAACACAGGGAATCCAGGACAGATGATCCCTTCAGGACTAGTGGTGAGAGTGGCAATACTGGGAGGGTGGAGGGAAGGTGGGGTAGAAAGGGGAAACCAATTGCAAGGATCTACATATAACCCCTTCCCTGAGGGATAGACAACAGAAAAGTGGATGAAGGGAGACGTCAGAGAGTGTAAGACATGACAAAATAATAATTTATAAATTATCAAGGGTTCATAGGGGTGGGGCGGGGAGGGAGGGGCAAAATGAGGAGCTGAGACCAAGGGCTCCAGTAGAAAGCAAAAATATTTTGAGAATGATGATGGCAACAAATGTACAAATGTGCTTGACACGATGGATGTCTGTATGGATTGTGATAAGAGTTGCACAAGCTCCCAATAAAATGATTTTTTTTTAATCGGGAAGAAAAAAGAAAACAGGGAAATGAGGTGAATGATGTTGCATTGTGAGGATTGCAATCAATGATATGAAATAAAATGTGCATAAATTGTTAATGAAAATCCAGTTTGTTCTGTAATACACATTTTTTTTCAAAAACAAAAATATTGTATGAATTGTCTTCCCAAAACTATGTGTTGTAAATCCTTCTATGTCTGTAGTGATAATCCTATTTGGGAATGGGTTGTCTTGTTATGTTCATGAGACTGGATTAGGACTGGCTATGTCATAAGCCAGTCTCTTTTGAAATATAAAGGATTAAGCAAACAAGCAAAACAAAGTAGAGATGAGGGAAGAGCTGACAAGCCATGTAAAGATTGCCAAGTTCTAGAAGCTCAGAAGAGACAAGAGCCCTCCTCTCAAGCTGACCCAGAGAGAAACCTTCCCTTAAAGTCAGCACCATGAATCCAGACTTCTGTCCTCCCGAACTGGAAAAGTGAATTTGTTGATAGATAGTCAAGCTAAAGGAAGACAAAGAGCAAACTTTCAGAAGCTGGTACATCCAACAGGATGCCATTCAAGAAAAAAGTGCTCTTCTAGATTAATAAAGTTTTATGAGGCTTGACCGTCAATGTAGTCTACAATCCCAGATCAGAGCCTAGATTGCACAACCCAGTGATAAGAGAACATTTCGGGGGAAAGGGGGGGGGGGGGGGGGGGGGGGGGGGGGGGAAATGGGTGGGGGGGGGGGTGGTTCTTAGCGTGCAGGTCTAGAAACTCACATTTGTCAGGAGGATGAATTCATCAATTATGCTTTGATTTTTTCTCTCTCTCCTGATTTCACTCTGCTGAGTCTGACCTGTCTTGCTATCCACTCTCTCTTTCCTCTGTCCTCCGCTCTCAGAAGTATGGAATGCAGGCAGCCCCACGGCCTGGAATCCCAGACTGACTGGCTCCCATGTTGGGTTGCTGGGCTCTACCAATGTGGCGGTGCCGGAGGAGGGGGGCACTTTTCAAGAGCTTAGCAGGAACAAGGATAACACAAGAGTGTTTCTGCCCACCTCTCTCTTCCTCTCGCCTGCTCCTCAGACTGGTTCCTGCTGGTCCATGAACCCAGCTCCCTGGCACGAGTAAAGATGTCCTTCTGATCCTCCAGGACAAGGGCGGTTGCAAATTCTGCTTGCTCACCTCTGGGCTGCTTCAATGTGTTCTCTCTTGTTTGCGGGGTGGGGGTGTGGGGGGGTGTTCTGTACTTCTTCTTCATAGCAACGGGAAGTTGCTCAGCTCCTCGCTTTCTCCTGGCACGGACATGCGTGCCCATCTTTTCTTGACAAATTTGAGGACCTCCTTGCTCTAGGAAACTGAGCAATTCCCTAACACATCGTGTGTAATCGGTGAAGTTGTACACCTCTCAAATCAGGTCGCACATGAACTTGGT